GACGGAGAAAGGGAAGAAGAAGAAGAAGAAGAAGAAGACGGAGAAAGGGAAGAAGAAGAAGAAGAAGAAGAAGACGGAGAAAGGGAAGAAGAAGAAGAAGAAGAAGAAGAAGACGGAGAAAGGGAAGAAGAAGAAGAAGAAGAAGAAGAAGAAGAAGAAGAAGAAGAAGAAGAAGAAGAAGACGGAAAGAAACAAAAATAATTTGATTTTTTTTTAAAAAAACAAATAAAAGAAAAGAATAATTCACCTTCTTTTCTTTTTCTTCTCTTCTTCTTTTTTTCTTCTTCTTCTTCACTTCTTTTGTTCTCCTCTTCCTGTTAAGCACTTTCAAGTTTTTTGTTGTTTCTTTCTCTTCTTTTTTTTTTTCCTCGGGCCAGACGTAGTCGTTAATCTTGCGTATCCCATTCTGTCCCCTCCCCCTAACTTTTTTTCAGCTATGCTAATTGACCAGTCATATACATTTCGCTATAATAATCTTTATTTCTTCGATTTCGTTACCTATTTATTCATACCTTCCGCTTCTTTATTTGTTTTCTTATCATTCATTGTTTTAACAGTTACATAAAGACGCACGCACACACAAACACACACACACACACACACACACACACATTTAACACACGTGGTATAACACATGGTTATATATATATATATATATATATATATATATGCTACTTATTGAATATCAGTGATAGAGTAACATACTTCGATCATCCCCACAATTATATATATATATATATATATATATATATATATATATATATATATATATATATATATAATATTAGTGGTACCTCCGTATGAATATAAATGCGTTATATTTTTAGAATAAAAATTCCAACCGTCTCAATGTCCAGGACAGCTTATAATAAAATGAAACACTAATATTCCATAGTCATATGGAATATCGTTGACGTTCTATGTAATCTCGGGTTCGTAATGTTTAGCATTCTTGTCCCGATAGAACAGTTGCGACTGAGTAGTGAGTTCGATCCTCGATGCTGCCCCCCCTATTTCGTCCTTGTGATATCGATTACACTTGGAAAATAGTGTGTTCTCTGTGTTTTTTATAGTCAATGTAGCTCCTAGGCCGGCAGTAAAGTTGCATATTTCAGGACTGATGAAAAATAATTGATTTTTTTTTTTTAATTTACAACTAAAATTAATTCACCGCTTTTTTTCTTCTTCTTCTTCCTAACTGTATTCCTCCATTAAGTCAAGTTTCTTTCTTCTTTTTATAACAATATCACTTAAAAAGTTCGACGTGAGGTTAGTAACCTTGTTTCGGCTAATAGCATCGACTTAATAGTAAAGACTAGCAAAAGCTTTTTTTCGATTACGATAGATCACTTTAAATTAGGCGGTTGAATAAAAGTGCATTATATTCTTTTTTTTCGATAGATCACTTACGGTTGAATAGTGCATTATATTCTTACTGAGTGTCTCTTACACTCGGCCTTGTGTCACGTCTAGCCTACGCTTAGAAAATCTTTGAGGGCTCTCCGACGTGGTTAGGAGGGTCGTATCGCTTGATCAGTTACGACTAAATAATGTGTTCGATCCTCGGTGTGAGCTCTATACTTTCGGCCTTGTGTCGCGTCCAGCAGGTGAAAGTGTTAGCAGGCGTGTCTCGCTAAATCAGTTACGTCCAAATAGCGTGTTCTATGCTCAATGAGTGGGGCTTAATGTCGGTCTCCTGCTACGTCTAGGCCACGCTTAGAAAATTATTGAGGGCACTCCGACGAATGTATAATGCTTAACAAGGTTGTCTCGCTCGATCAATTACGGCTGAAACACAATAGAGT